TTTAAAATTAAAAATTATTAATAATTAATGTAATGATGATCATGCTACTAGTCATGGATATATTTCTACCTTGAAAATATTTTGAAAGTTAAAATCATTCATGAGTTTTCCCACAGGCAGATAAGACTCACAAAAGAGTTGAGCTGGCCAGTATCAAGTGATTTTCATTTCATTTTACTATTGAACATACTGAAAACAACTAGCTTTCTTTAACAGTACAATAAGCTTCTAGTTTTTAAACAAAACAATAGTAAAATTGAAACGAGTTTACAATCCACACTACTGGCCTTAAGTATTAGAAGCATAACACCCGCAAATAGATTCCTCTGGAAGAGGAGTAAGAAGTACTCTTCAATATTGCAAAAACATTCCCTATGTTGTGCTGCACTAAGGAAGAACTTGAAACATTTACTCCACCATTAAGCAGGCTCTGGAACTTAAAACCACAACTACTCACTAACACAAACACCTCAAATGTTGCAATTGCTACGAAATACCATTAAATGACTTACTATGCAAAGATGGTTCCATTGTAGCCATTCATACAAGATTCAACAATTTTTTTGGCCACACCTGAGAACACCGATTCCTGAGGACAAGGGAAAGAGAAGGCACTTGGCACCACTCATTTAAATATCTCTTCTATCAGTGTTTTCTATGTCATAATTATGTCTAAAATAGATGCATTTCTTAAGGTAAGACAAGTATCATGACCCCTGGAGTTCTCATAGAAAAACAATATATCACTTCCTCTGAAAAAAACGTATTCCTTGATGAACTGAAAGAAAAGTAATACAACTCAACATCACAGCAACTGCTTTTAAATACATATTATATTAATTTTGGTCCAGTGTTTTTGATTATGTTGTGGTTTATAACATCAGTAGGTCAAAACTGATACCATGACACTTATCAAATCTAGTTAACTTTCAACATTTGCCACTGCACAATGGCTTAGTCAACAAATCTGCAAACTGTTAGCCTCCTCTATTTTCATGTAATTCTCTTAGACCTGCAAGAAAAGCCTCGCTACAAATAACAGCCTACAGTGAGTGGGTTTTGGGGATGTGTGTGTCTTTTTTTAAACAGAAGTTAAAGGCATCTGAAGCCTTAGGGGAGTTAAAATTATGTTCAGAATTTCAAACGCAATATTATAAAAATTAAATTGAAGAATTTTCCTTCCAGTATTACATGTCCCAGATGAACAATGCATCTGTTTAAAAGGCAAATGTATGAGGGAAATATAACAAATAGAATATAAACTCCTAAGTTCCTAATATATAAATCACATCTTTAATATCAGCTACTGACTACCAGCTATTTTTATATGTTTGTCTCAACAGGGGGATTTATTTTCTGTCTATGGTGTTACTGTAACATTTCCAAATAGAAACTTCAATTTTAATGAAAACTTTAATTAAAGAAATTAACAGTTAAAAAAATACACTAAAACTATTAGAGAGCAGAATTTAGTGCAACATTTCTGTACTATAACTACATATTACCAGTCTGACCACTGCAAAAAAATAAGACCCAAGGCATTACATCTTTAGAAAGGTTTAGTGTAGCCATTGTCAACATCTGAGGAAAAACTGCAATATCATTACAAGGTTCTAGAAGTTATTACCTGTGTCGTTTCCATATTTGCAACATAATCAAAAGTGAATATCTTTGGCTCGGGCTTCGAATGCAGACGGATGGTATTTGATGAAAGAACAGATAAGCACAAGCCTTGATCTCCACCAGTTAATGCAGTTCCTTCTGAAGGGGGACGTACCCTTACATAAACTTTGATAGCATCACCTTCAACACTAAATGAATATTTATGCATTAGATTACTTTGAAGCAGATCTATCTGCTGTTTGATAAAATTAAATAATAAAAAAACAGATTAAGCATGGGAAGTCATACAAACATCTTTCCGGAAAATATACTACATGTATCTGTACACATCAATTCACTACAAACCACGGATTTATTAAAGGTAACAATGTGGCAGATTTAAAACAAAAAACCCATTAAGTTACTGAAATTTATTGATGTTGCATGTAACTTTAGCTCTAAAAGAACACATTTCACTGTGAACTTGAGATATATAAAACCAGCATTATAATAAAGGTTTCTATAGGCTTCAGGCATCTTTCTTACTACTGGAAATTACAAAAGACTTTACAAATGCAGCAGATGATGCTACTTTCCAGCAAGATAGTTACTAGCATTTTTCTTTGCTGCTCACAAGGGACAGATCAATTCTTGATCCATGAGTCCAATAAAGTATAGCAGCACCTACATCTAAAAGCTCCCTAATCTATTTCATCATATTTGTCAGTGAATGCACCCATAAATTTAGCTTAAATAAGTAACTGTATATGACTATTATATTAAAGCTTTGAGAAGTTCTGGCATAAATACCAATATACAGATATAATAGTAAATAATTAAATTCTTACATGAAGCAGTAGCAAACTTGATTTACTTTACTTCATTCTTTCCCAAGAGGCAGTTATAGCATGAGGGTGTTACAACTGTTATTGAGTTTTATTTTTGGTAAACAAATGAAAGGAAGCTAATAGTTTTAAAATGGGGGAAAGACTTCATGACTGAAATGTGGAGTTGGGGAATAGCAGAAGAAAGGGCTAAAAAAGTAAGGGGAAGCAGCTAAGAAAGGCAAGATGTTATACTGGATTTAAGACATACTGCATTAACTTGCCAAATATGTTTTCATTGGATAATATTACTCTGAGTTGTGGCAGAGTATTTATATTTGGAGGAGGGCTTTTTGTTTTAGCCTAGGACTTTCTCACAGAATTAAAGTTCCTCACGGAATATATATTCAGAGAAATTCTAGAGTCCTGCTGAAGAGTTAGTGGACAGATGAGAATTTACTGCATTGCCTCAGAGCAACATTTTTATTAAGAGAACTTTTTAAAAAAAAAAAAAAAACAATAAGGAAGGAGAGAAAGGCAACAGTCTTGTGCAGGAACATGTTCAAAGAAAAAACTTTAAATTATTTCACAAAATTATACTAGGTTTGTTTGTACTTTTTGTGCAATATGTTTATTCATATATGGGAACTGGCTGATACTACTTTACCTAGGTGAGTTCAACAAAGGTAATGCAGAGTCACGTAAATCTCCTATAAAATAAAAAGTGAAAGACACAAAAATTAAACAAGATAAAATCATCACTCAAAACCCCTCATTTAAACAGAAAAATACTGTAAGCAGTACTGAGGGAGATAAATGGAGAGCCTTATAAATATCTGTTTCATGCATGAATCAGAACTGCACAAAAATATTTATCAGATATCTTCCTTTGCCAGAAAGTTTGCAGTTTCTTGCAGAGGTAGAGAAAGCTCTAGTTCTGCAGTCTGAGCATGCACACACTTGTAAATGAATCTGCAATGAGTAGTCTCCTAATGTATACGATGTTTTGCAAGTCCTTTGGAGAAAATGGAACATAAATATTAATAGTATTATTTATTCCCATTATATTTTAAAAATTGCTAGCTCGCTGCAGATAAAACAATACAGCATGAAATAGTTTTACTATTGATGTGAATGCAAAAAGTCAAGTTCCTAAACCTGCACAAGTGAGTAGCTATATAACTTTCACTTTTATGAAGCAATATTGAGCACTCTGCAATGCATAAAGCTCTCCTATACATATGAGCATCAATTTGCACAACTTCACCTTTCAAGGAGATGGCAGATATTATCCCCTAGGTAGATATGGTGACTTATTTTTTACTTAAGGGTGAATGTGACATGGAATTATTTCACGTAGGTTAGTCAAAATATTAACTAAGTAGCATAATCAAATTTTAAAAATAAAATGACAACAAAAAAAGCTTTACTAAAATATTCCAATAATAAAGGCCTTATAAAGCCTCTAAAAGTACACAGGTTTTATTGTAGGAGAATCCCTTTAAAAGTAGATTTAATAAAGATGTGCAAAGGTACTAACCTCATCAACATTCATACTACATAAATATTCTACTGCTGCTATGGAAGCCTACCTGCCTTGATTCACACAACATTTGAGAAACGTGCTAGCTTCTAATTCAGTTATTTATTCCTCAAATGCATAAGGTATCAAAATGAGCTGGCACAAGAAAAGCAGTGCAACTTGAAATCAGACTGACAGGTACTTGCACAACCTATATCTTGGGAAGCAACAGACTCGACTAACCGTTCTCAGCTCGCCTGTTAAAGGGCGGCTCCCATTTGAACGTTTGTAAGAGACTACAGTTAGAAACACTGCAGTTGATTAAAACTCGCTAAAATTACAGAAAACGAACTGATAAACGTGGGAGGGTTGAGAGCAGCCGGGTTTTGTAGAGCCTTCCTGCTTGGGCGGGACTGCTTACACGACTCCACCGCGGGAAGCCCCGGCACATACCGGGGCCGGCAGCGCTTCTGGAATCGCGGGGGCTCACCCCGCTCCGTGCCGCTGCTCCAGCCCCGCCGCCCTTCCCCGACCCCTCCGGAGGCAGCGCGGAGGCCCCACGGCCACCCGAGATAGCAACCCCAGGGGCCTCAGCCGCTCCCTGGGGCAACCGAGCCCCGTCAGCACGGCCATACCTCTCCCCGACCCTGTTAGGCCTTACACCTGGAGGTTAGTTGGCCTCACAGGGCAGAACCGTCCCTCGCCCGGCCAGCAGCCAGGCTCCCCCTCCCCGAGCCGCCCGCCTGCTCCCCACCCAGCGGGGAAACCTCCCCAGCCCCTTCAGAGCCACGCAGCACCCCTCCCTCCCCTCACCTCTCACGCCCGGAGCCATGATCCTCGGCGGCTCCGCCGACCCAGGCGCCTCCCCGCCCACCACTAACCTCCCCAAAATGGCGGAACATTTGAATTTGGCGCTAAGAGCCGCAGGCGGCATAAACCCGCCCCCCTCCCCGAAGCCAAGCTGGGCGCGGCCATTTCGCTCTGTATCCTCCTTCTCCGCTCCAACCATTGGCTGAAAGTGCCCCCGCCCCCTCCACGTGACGGAGGAGATGTAGTAGCCACGTCCCACTAGGGTCACTGTTCTCGCGTGGCCGCTCGGCGCGGCGGCGTGGGGGCGGTGGGGGAGGCCGCGGCTTTGGCCGCGGGCAGCGGCCATGAGCAAAAGGAACCAGGTCTCCTACGTGCGGCCGGCCGAGCCCGCCTTTCTCAGCCGCTTCAAGCGGCAGGTCGGGTATCGGGAGGGGCCCACGGTGGAAACCAAGGTAACGGCTTGGCCCCGTCCTCGGGCGGCGCGGCCCTTCCCCGTCCCGTGGGCTTGTGTCCGGGCCCTGCTTCCCTGCCCACCGCCGCGGTCGGCCCCACCCGGGGGGTGAGAAGGGGCCTTCGGTGCCATGATTCCCCCCCTTCGGGCCTAAAACGGAAGGTGGGGCAGAGGCCCCGTCGCAGGCGGTGGGAAAGCAGCACTTCAGGGCTTTGTCCCTGTAGGGCAAGGGGGAACAGCAGTTGCCCGCTTAAAATTAACGGAAACGGCCTTTGTGACTTGTTTTTGCTTCTGTGTTGGAGGTTCAAGACCACAGGAACAAACTGCAGCGCCCCTCGCCGCTGCTGCTTCTCGTAACCGCAGCGGCCGTGGTTCTGGTGCCCTTGGAGCAGCCGGTGCCGAGCGGTCTGGGGGGGCAACGGGGGAAACGGGAGTGATGTCCCAAGGTTACCTGGCCTTACGAAGCCCAGGCAGGGGCAAAAAAAAAAAAAAATAGTTTTAAGAGTAATAAAAAAGCTACGTTGTAAAGGAGTTACCTTAACATAGGTCACCAGACACAAACTGGTGTGTTGATCGGGAAGGCTGGGCAAAGGCAGCAGGGTTTGAGCACGCTTGTTAAAAGGCAGCTTTTTCTGGGGGGAACTTACTTTTTTTTTTTTTTTTTTTTCTAATGTGCTTTTGCATGTGTTTCCTGCTAACAAAGGTTTTACAGGATACCTTAAGAAGGAAGCCTGTCATTATCATAATAGAGCACATGCAAAGTTGTTTTTTCTCTTAGATGACTAAGGAATTTTAAACTGGTTTAACACTAGCTGGTAGTGCTGTTTGTGCAGTTATGTTGTTATCTAATTGTACTTGCACAGATGTTTGAATGATCCCACCCTGACCATGTATGCAGCTAAAAGCTAACCTAGCAAAAAACCCCCTTACCTAAAAGCTCATTGTTATGACCTTGATTTGATTCATACTTGTAACACTGTGGATGTACAAGTAACTAGTGAAGTTGTCTGTTTTTACAAATTATGTATTGATTTTGCTTGCTCCCTTCGCCTGTATTGCCTTTTAAGGTTCAATTCTAGTACATTGTGGATCTTAAACTAAAGAGGCCATTGTCACTTAACCTCTTCAGACTGGTCAGTAAAGTAATAGTCACAGTGATTTGTTAAAAAAATAAATTTGTGACGAGCTGGAATTTGACATAAAGGTATTCATCTAGTAAATTTAGTATGAACTGTTTCACTTCCTGAGGAAGATTGCTATCTCTTTGTAAAATCAATAGATTATGGTAGTACTATCTATAATTTTCAGTATAAAAGGGAGTTTTCAGTTCCTTTAATATTGCCAGTCTTTATGTTGTTGCATTGAGGTTTCCATGCCAGAAAGTTTATTTTTATAAAATTTTATTGCAAGTGATTCTTCTGTCTGAGAGCACAAGTTTGAGAGTGGAAACAGAGATACGGTCTTCCTTGTGTCAGTAATGCTTACAGATATTTGGTTAGGCAGGTTTAATCATGGAGTCCCTTTCCCTTTGCGCTGTTTTGAATACTGCATAGAAGATTAAAATTTGGACCCACGCATTTAAGATTTTTGTAATGTTGCTTGGAAGACAGTGCTTGTAGGGTAAAGATAACAAACAAAAGGAATTAGTTTATTACCTTCCAAGTTCCTACTGTTCTGGTCTCTAACTGAAAGAGCCCATACTGTTTGTTTTTTGGTTTGGGTTGATTGGCTGTTTTTTTTTGGTTTTTTTTTTTTTTGTGTGTGTGTGTTTTTGTTTTTTCTAGGGAATGCTATGTCTCTGTGATAGAATTAGTGTCATTTGAACAATGTGTTGGAAGGGCCTGGCACTGACAGCTGTGCCAAGTCTCTTTACTAACCTTATTGCAAAAGTGACACCAAAGTGAACTAGTCCACCCTTGGCAATTGTGATTTGGTGTGGTGGTCAGAATTGCTTTTATTTCTCTCCTGTCTAGAGAGAGCAGCTTCCACTTGCAGATGATGATAGTGAGAATGGCAGTGACAACGAAGATGAGCAGCCTCAAGTGGTAACACTGAAAAAAGGGGACTTGACTGCTGAAGAAGCAATGAAAATTAAACAGCAAATCAAAGAGGCCTTAAAGTCAAATGAACCAGGTGAATTTCAAACTACTAATTTCTTGCTTTGTAGAGATAGAGAGATAACCCATAAAAGGGAGCTTTATATTTGCTCTATTTTCTACCATTTAATATTACCTTTGATAAGATGTTTTTAATTTTTCAGCTAAATAATTTGCACTTTTGATTCCTAATCTGAAGTCGTTGATTGCATATCCAAGCTGTCTGGCTTTTTATAGTGTCGCAGCTCTGTGCTGCTTGATTGTGCGTCATCCTACCTGCAAATACCACCTTAAATTTTTTGTTTTGTTTTGTTTTTTTTATTATGGTGTGTCATTTCCCTGGTACACAGTCTTTTGACATCACCTGTGATAATTTTTGAACTCCTTAATTAGTTCAGCCAAATTTGATGGTGGAGTGGATGCCTTGAAGGTAATTGTATGAGTTCATGAAAGAGTGTCTGGGCAGAAGGAGGAAACTTGGGTTAGTACTTTAGTGGAAAGAATGGCAGGTGTGTAAGCTTGGTGAGATGTTCACTTAACTGACTGGCCGTGTTACTACTTGCTTAAAAACATCCCCTGTATGTGTTGTAACTTGCAAATATATTATACAAAACTAAATTGTTTAGTTGAAAATAACAGATGGTACAGTAATGCCAACAAACAGGAAAGTACAGAAAAAATGTTTCCTTGCTACAAAGAATTAGAAAGCTTTATCTAAGTTATTTAATAGGCTTTTCAAGAATGGAAAGATGGAAGTGGGAGAGGTTGACACAGTTAGTCAATAAAGACATGAAACTATAGCTGATGATACAGTTAAGTTAGGAATTTCTGTCAGTATTCGTCATTCAGGTATAGTTGACATAAGTTCTTTGAGAGTCCAAAAACTTCCATCATCACATACAGTGTGATGAAATGTTGCTTTATTTTTATTTTTTGCTGACAGAAGGCTTGACAGATTAAAGGTAGCTATTATGGTCTCTAATGGAAATGTCTTGACAATTAAGAATATAGAATGGGAACCTTGCAAATGTGACACAGAAAGGTGATTCGTAGAAGCTCTGGACCTTTTCCTTGGTTAGCTATTGTGGCTATTTACAAAGTCTGTAAATTGAGTTTAGAGCAGATTGAGAGGCTAAGGCTAGCACATGGCCATCAATATGACATGCTTAGCTTCTGCCTTTTTTCTGTCTTTTTTCATTTGGATTAGAAAATTCAGGTTTGTGCTGTCCCTATGTAGGAGTATGTGTTAAAATGTAAATGGTAGAAATGGTGTAAATGAAGAAGTCAGATAACAGGAGTGGGAGAAAATACACTGAGATTCATCTAGTTTTGAAAAGTCAATTAATGAAAACCTCTTAATTTTTATAAATATAGGTTAGCTTGAAACTAAATAAAACTACATCTGACTTGTTTCTGCAGATAGATAAGTATGTTAGATGCAACCAGGTAGTGGACTGAGGGCTGTGTTTATATAATTCAAACTCCTCTGTGAAAGCATTTTCAATTTTGGACTTACTTCCTGCTCTCTTGTTATTGAAGTGTAATGGGTGTACTTGGGGTTGCAGTTTGTGAAGTTGTAACATGGTTTCTTTTCAAAAGTGGGAGGACCCTCCTACTACTGGGAGAAATTTCAACTTATTGGAAAGAAATGGCAAGACTCTTTGTGAGCATTGGTTTACTTTTCCTATAAGTAACTTGAATTTTGAATGATTACAGTAGGAGGAAAAATTATTTTGTAAGTCTTGACAAAAAGTAGTAGTTGTCCATGAGAATGTATTGAGGTGAAGTCTATGCTGTGAAAAAAGTCTAAAAGAGCTACCAAGCTGGATACACGGTATGAAATGGAAGTGTATTTGAATGAAGTAACTGAACTTCTTTGGAAAAAGACATTCCTAAAGCATAATTGTATGTAGTGAGGGTGGTAGTATTGAGTCCCCATAGGACTTTGGCGTCTTTGCTTATTGACCCTTCAGTAATTTACATTTGGAGGAAAAAATCCACAGTAGTAGGCAGCAGGAGTGTTGAGTCACTGTGCTCAGGGGACTACTGCCCTTTGTTCTACATTATTGTCTACTGTTTGTTCATCTGCCTTTGCTGTTAATCTGAGGTCTTGGCCTCCTTTTCCTTTTTTTGACTCATGGGAATAAAATGGGTAAGCGCTACTGTGTTCCTTTGCTATGGAGAGGACCTGATGTGAACTTTTCAGTGAGGGTATGGGTGACTGTGGTACAGCTTACTGAAGGCTTTTTTGAGTCTTTGGCCACCTTTGCACTGTTAATCTGACTTCTAGATTTAAATTCTGATTTCTAGTCAGAGGCAGGCATTTAGACAGCTGGTTACTTCCAGTTTAATAAAGCGAGTGTTGAATAATGTGTGAATTTCCTTTCTTTATTTGGATAATTGTCAATTCTGAAAACGGGCTATATAAAGAAAGTTTGATGCTGCATGATTTGCCTGCATTTCTCGTTGCTTTGATTTTTATCCCAGAGTTGAAAGTAAAATTAATTTAACAGGCACTAGACCATAATATATAGCCCCAAATCAGATCATTAGTGAAATCACATGAAGCTGAAAAAGTAGCAGGGAAGTAAATTTCCCAACTGATAAATCTGCCATTCCACCATGCATCAGTGCTGAGGCACTTTGATAGATCATAAGTAATGTTTTGCTAACTATATGTTGTGAATAGAAACTGTTAGTTTTTCAAAACATGGAAAGTACTCAGTTTTGAAGTTCTGTCCTCTCCTCTTTTATATCTGTAGTGATTGTCTTCATTTAAAGATCCTTGTCTTCAGGCTTTGGTTTGGGATATTATTCTAGGTTTTTCTATATCTCATTTACATCCTTTCTCCTTCATTTTCTTCTATAACCAGTTTGACACAGCTACACTGTTTTTTATTTCAGACACCAGCAGTTCCTGTGACTTGCATTTTCTTTTACAGATGAGTAACACTTTTGCATTAATTTGGTAAAAACAGTTGATTAATGTCCTAGCTGCACTTAGTTGTCTTCTAAGGCAGAACAAAATTTAGTGAAGCTTGTACATTGGCTTTTGCCAGTATAGTCACAGGGAACTTTTTTATTTAGGACTGAACCTTTCCTATATGAGAAAACGCCCTTTCATATTGAAATATTTTTCTGCATGGAGGAGTGACTTAGAGGCTTTTTAAGGAGAAGTCATTTGTTTACCAACAGTCATTCTGCTTAATATTTTTATGCAGCATTTTATAAATTGTTACTGTTTGTTCAGAGACAAATTAAAGTGGTCTTATGAGAAATTAAATTTGCACAAAAGAAAAGATGGCAATTGCTGCAAGATACTTTATCCCAGCATTCAGTACAGTCTATGGAATTGATTTTCCTACTGCTTTTTTAGTTCATCTGGCCTCTGGGATACTCTGATACATACTGATGACCAAATTTGGCAGAAGTTGTTCTTATTCATTCAAAGTCTTTTAATACTGTTCTTGTCTCGTTCTGTGTGCTGGGGTTGGGGGAGGACAAGAGAGGGGAGAGGCAAGGAGAATACAGTCATGCTGTCTTGGGTATTGGAGCTCTTTTCCTTAGCTTAAGCAGCTGTTACATCAGATACCTATCAGAGTTCATGCTGCTCTTCATCATGTGAACAGCAGGAATCTAAATCAAAACTAATTTTACAGAATTTAAGTAAGAAATACTTTCCCAAGTGTCCTCATGAATGATTGAGACTGAAAATCTGAGCAAGACTGGCCAGTTTTATCTTAATGACACCAGTGTGTGGAATTCCTGTAGTAAATGCTTCCAAAGGCACGCATAGAGACGGGTGACCCGAAGGCACTAGAAGGAGCATCTGAAATGGCTCACCTGAACTTCTAACCTTAGAAACCATTAAGAAATTTGCCAGGTCATGATAAATTTTTTCCAACCTTTATCATTGAATAGACATATACCTTGAAATATTGTTTGCACTTTTCCTTCTGTTGTTCCTGCCAGTTTAGTGGCATTTGTGTTTCCTCTTGTTGCCTCTGTTGTGGTTTGGGCATTGACCCACGTGGACAGAAACTGCTGAAAAATGGTGCTGCTAACTACACAAATGACTACTAAATAAAAAATACAGTAAACTGAAGAGCAGTGCTTCTTTTTCAGATGCTCATTTTCTACATCTCTTGTAATATGTATGTTGCAATTAATAGAGAAAAAAAAATTGTGAATTTGTGGCTTCTTTAAATTGATGTCATTTGTGCAGTGGTTTTTCAGCTCAACATCTGACTGTGCCCCTCTTAGTCAACTAGTGTAAAGGTTTGTGATCCAAGTAAAAGCTGCAGGGACTAAGAACAGTCAGAATTTGAGTTGCTAGTGTAGTTTTTTTACTTTCTTATCAGAATTGGATTTTATTACTTCTGTAATGCTTTTATGTTGGTTGTATTTTAATTTGTGTGTTTCAGTGTGTTAATCAGAAATCCTACTTTCCATAATTTGTAATACTGACCCAGTCTTTTATTAGGGCTCTGTTTAAAAACTACCAACACAGATTGACTCTTCAAACTCTTCTTTGTGTTGCTTAATACAAGTCTGTTTTTGGAGGTCATTGATACAAAGACAGCTGACACATAAGAGTCTGGTAAAATTAGAGAGGATGAAGTGAAACTTTTTTTACCATCTGGAAAAGACAATCTTAACAAATCACCACAAATTTATTGAGCTGCTACATCGAATTCTTTCATAAAGCATAGTCTGTCTGTTCTTCCTCTTTCCATAAGCTGCTACGGTAAGGCTAGGCATACTGCGTTTCCTCATCTGCTTCATTTGTCGAGCCCTGCCAGCACATCATAGCTCTCTGAAGTTGGCCTGGGCTTCCTGCTGAAAGGAGTGTCCTTGAGCATATAATGAAATTTTGACAGTGTTTAACCAGGCCAAGAGCTAAAATCTTTTCCTTTGATGCAGAATGATCCACAAGTAGCATTGAGGCCCTGGAGGTCAGAGCTAAGCTAGTTGACATTTTCATGGAATTTTTGAGCTCTGCTCTGTTTATGCACTTTGCTTATTAGGCATTTAAATTCATATTGCAAAGATGCCTATCAGTTTCTCCATCTGGTAGACAAGATGAAATTATTTTGTGCAGTTCACAATGTGGGTTGCAGGAGAGTTGGGAGTAAAATTGAAATTTCTGACTTCCATTTTTCCATGGAGTGTGAGTACATAGCTGTTCATCTGATTTATTTTGTGGATGTGCTTTCATTACATTTTTAGGGGTTTGTTTTTTCAATTTACCATTCTAAGCAAATGTAGTAATCACTCTTTTAAATAGTGATTAATGAGGATTTTTGATGCTCCTCATGCTTATGCAGTAGCTGCTTGTCCTATTTCTGCAGCTGTACTGGTACTGTATGCAGTCTGTATGCTGATTGGCTCAAGTGCTCAAGTACATAGACAGTTGGGTCTGCTCATAAGTGATATTTTTCTTATAGATGTGTTGGGGTTTTTTTTTTTGTTTTGTTTTTTTTTTTTTTTTGTTTTGTTTTTTTTTTTTTGTTTTGTTTTTTTTTTTGTTTTGTTTTTTTTTCAGAATTTGGCTTATATCATGCCTCAGATCTTGTTTTAAGTTAGGTCTGGGTTTCCAAATAAACATTATAGTTAAGCAACAGTTAGTAAGGGGAATTATTTGATAATAAACTTCCAAGTCCAAAAATGGAGAGCCAATTTCTGAGAAAAATTATACATAATGCATTTTGATTGGTTGGATGTAGTATATTTTCAGAAATAGTTGTTTTTCCCTTCCAGAATTTACTGCAAGCACTTCCTAAACTTCTGTATCACATGTACAGCACCTAAACACTTAAGCCATCCATGCAGAATTCACAACAGATTGGTGGAGAAGTATGCTTTCATATCTGCAGTTTATTATTGCTGGCAATTCTTCATAACTGCAATGCTTTTCTAATGCACCAGTACTGAAATATTTTCCCAAAACGTGGTCAGTAATTTTCTGCATAGTAGTATTCTCTCATAAACTAATGCAGAAGCATGCATTCTGTAGAAGTCATTGACAGAATTGGTGCTTAGTTTTTTAAGATAGGTTTCTTCTTAAAAAGGGCCTCTGAAACTTGAGGGATTCTAAGTAAAGTTTCGTAATGAATCCGACGTCTTCCTTTGTACCACACAACCCTAAGAAGCCAGATTTAATAGTTGTATTGTTTGGAGTATGCACTGAGGAGTGTTTCAGCCAGTGCCATGTATCGTAACACCGAGATGTTAGTCTTCTGCTGTAATGCTTATATACTGAGGAAAGAATTTGTGCTAAAGACAAAAGATATTTATTGGTTATAATTAAATAGCACATAATCTTGTCAAACAGATGAATAGTTAGGAAATTTCTGTTGAATAATGAATTTTACAAAAGTACTTTAGGAAGACTATCTTGTACAGAACCTATGGTTCTTTAACATCTTGTTACATACACATTATAAAAATTGCAAGTTACTGCAGTATGAGCCTTTGTGTCTGATTCACAACTTTACAATTACACTTTTTTTTCCAGAAATACTGCCTTGATGCTGTTACTTCTGCAGTAGCTTTCTTCCTCTGCCTGATAATCCTGGAAGGGACTTCTCTTATTTTTAAAATTGTTATTTGCTCTAGTACAGGCAGATGAGCAGAATTAGTCAGTTAGAATAGTTTGGTGATTTTGTAGATACAAAGAAAACCTAAAACTTTCATCCTATATGATAATAAAAAGCAGGTTTATGACCATGTGATCTTTTTAGCTGTCTCAGCAGAACGGACTATATTAGAAAAAAAAGAAAAGCTTTGTCTTTTGTATGTGCCGTTTTGTTCTTTAAAGAGATAGCATATTTCTGAAATGAGTGCATTTGTTGTCATGGACTTTACAAATAGTGAAGTGGAATCAGAGGATCTGATAAAGTTGTCCTCTCCATTTTGATAAGTGGATGCAGCTGGACTGTGTGGGAAAAGCTCTACTGCTCACAGTGTCTCTTCTAAGTTAAAGCTCTGGTTAGTGAGAACCCATTCTTAATAGGAACTGCTGGAGAACTGTCTTCACGGGCTGGTTGCCATGGAGCAGATGTGTGTGCATGAAGGACATTCATCGATACAGACTTTGTGGCTAAAATAAATTTTCATGGTTGTTTTATTCTGTCAGAGGTCTCACTGATCTTGGTTCTGGGGAAAAAGAAAAGACTGTAGTGGTGGTCTGTATATGTGTGTGTCAACATGTACAGGTGAGTTCTGATTTCACTCTTACAGATGCTGAACCAGAACCTGCTGATGGAAAAATTATGTTCAGGAAACCAGCCAAACGATCATCAGAGAAGTGTTTGGACTTCAATGTAAGTTCAAGTAAGAAGATGAAAGAGGCAAAGAAAACTAAGAGAGAAACAACTATTCCTCCGACTACAGCGAAGCAAGTGAAAAACAGCAGTCTTCTCTCATTTGATGATGAGGAAAATGATGATTAGGGGTTGTATTTTTTTTATATTTTACTTACCCTTCTAGGGATCTCAGTAAGATTGAGTGTTTTCTTAGAACCTGAAGCGTGGTATCTGAGTCTTCTCTTACTTTATTATAGTCCAACTAGAGAAATGTAGTATAAAACTCGGAAGAGCTAAGTCTTTGCAGTTCAGATAGAACTGTATGAACAGTATGCCATATTTTTATTTTAAAAGAGAATTTAACCATTTATGTAAAAGCTATCTGAGGTCACAAATGAGTAGCAAAATATACCTGTACATATCCAGCTTATATAAATTTTCAATCAATGCATTTTAAAATGTCCTTCATGACTAAAAATATATTTCCTCTCTACTTGCTGGCCTTAGTTGACAGCTGTGGTTTTTTTACCTGTTATTGTTGACGTAACATTGAAAAGAGAGAGACTTCACTGCTGTGGAACAGAGAGCAAAGTTTTCTGTCTCACAGCCTAACAGCAGTTTGCACAACTTCTGCATGTGTGGTTTGGCAAACTAGCTCTATGCAGAGCCCTTGCAGTAAGTGAGCCTGCAGTTGCTAAATTTGTGTAGTCTTAATCCTGTCTTTGGTGAATGCAGTCTAAGAAGCATCAACTTCATCTGAATTGATCGTGCTAGCAAGATACAGAAATTTTTATTGTAGTTGGTGATATCAACTAATGCAAAAGAAAGATGCCTAACCCCTTGGAGATTGTGTATTTAGGTTATCACACTGATGGGCTCAGTGGTTTGGTGGTGTTTTTGTGTTTTTGTTTTTTTTTTTTTAAGTATATTTGTTCCAGTTGGCTACCTATAGGTTCATCATTATTTGGGATCTCAGACAGCTTATTTAAAACTATTATATTTCATCTTTAAGATGTGGTAAATCATTATTTTGATTTTCCTCAAGTAGGAAATTGTAAACAGGAAATTTAAGGCAAGAAACCTTGTGGTACAAAGTTTTACAATGTTTCGGTTGCCCATGTACCATACACTGAAAGTGACCATTTCTGTACCGTTTATGTAACAGGATGTGCTGAAATTCAAAACAATACTGAGAGCTGATGGGACTGGGGAGGACAAAGTGGTGGAAATGGGACTAGTGACTTTGAAATTATTTGGAAGTATGATGTGTTCTGTAACCATATATAAGCAAGACCTGAGACTGCTGCAGAATGACAGGGTATGAGGTGATAAAACCAGTTCTGCTGTGTGACAGGACACTTTAAATTATTTGGACTATAAAGCTTCACTGAGGAGCAAATTTGAAGTTGCTGTGTGAAACAGCTGGTTTTAGTTTGTTAATCTGGTATTAAACAATAAATTGTGTTTTCTTCAAGTGGTACAAAGATACTTTAATGAAAATTTCAGTACATAAAATGGGATTTTTTTGTCACCTGATAATGAAGCCTCTTATGACTGCTACCCGTGTCTGTACATACCAACTTCCTGCAGCATAAAATCAGACACAAGTCTGCATGGTGTTTCACACTAATTGTATGAGTGCATGTTACCCTGATTTTGAAAATGAATAAACCAGTTGTCCTTTCAGAAAATCAAAACCAGACCTATAATATTAAAGTCTTGTAGCACTGGTCTGATATTAGACCTGCCAGAGGTGCAGTGTCACAACCTGATTATTCCCATGAGGACATGTTACATTTGTAAATACATCATTTTTCTGTATTCTGCACATATAAAAAAGAAAATCAAATGTAAGAAGAAGAAATACAGAATCAAAGGTTCCCAGGGATTAATCTTTCCATTTATTTTGTATACTTAAAGCTTGTTTGAATACATTAAAAAAATATATACATATACCCATGAGAAATCTTGTAGCATTACAGTATACTGAAGGAATATTTGGGCTTATTTCAGCAACTGAGTAAATACTCTGACTTGCTGAGACTCATCTGAAAGAATGATTTAACCATTGACTGCTTACTTAAACTTTTCTGGTTCTCTTCGTCAGCACAAAAATATACTCGCTTACGTTTTTCGTGCACAGCCTGAGAGCTCTTAACTTTAGCTGTGAGGCAGTTTAGGAGGCATGGCTATCAAGAGATAAGTGCTTGCCAAGGATCAGAGGGAATTTGGATTTACCTTAAAATTAGGCCTCCCAAATAGGCAGCTGATTTGGCATGTTCAAAATAAGATTGAGGTCTTGTTTGAATCTGGTTAGTAATTCCATTTAAAAATTGCTATTTCTAGTTGAAAGACTTTGGAGACTCAAGTCCAGTAGTAAAAAGAGGGTTACCTCAAAATACTGGGTGCAGTACTTTCGCTTAATCATGCTCCTTGCCCTACAACTTCATTACAGATGTCTGGAATGCAAATAAATTAATTTGGTTTACTTGGAAATAATATAATGAAAGGTATGTTGTCCTTCAGGCAACACAGCAGGGGAAAGAAAGGTGGATACGGAAACCCAGTTTCTTTCCTTTATTCTGACTGTGATTTGTAGTGCTCTGACCAGGAGACCTTTGTATTCATTGTATTTCACTCCTAGTTCCCCTAACAATAACTAATTGGATATATTTATTAAGAGGTGTGAGTGATGCACAGAAGCATTTTAGTCAAGTAGTCATGTGAAAATTCAGTGTTCTTAATGTGACACACCAGGAAAATTACACACGCCATCAACTCCCCATGAAACCTGTGACTAAAGAGAACAATTACTTGTTCATTTAGGAAAGAAATGTGAAACTGTCTTAAGCAATCACCTGCCTTAAGCAATGGGCCATGAAAAAATAATAATTGCAAGAACTTTCTAATAAAGGGGAAGCCAAAGTAAGTACATGGAATGTGGGCTAAGACTGGAATGGACAATTCTCCTGCCTTTTTCTTTCACTCTCTCTCTTCCTTGCCCCCATCCCCCAGTCCTTTTCCCCTCCTGTAGTGGGGAATGTGTAAGTATTTTTTTTACTTACGGAGTTTACTCAGCTAAGTGTGAGAAGTGCTGTGGAGGAGCAAGGTAAAAGTAGCTGAGGCTTGTTACCTAATATGGGGATCTTGGTCAGATGTGGTCTGTTACCTAATATGGGAATCTTGCACAGTATTTAATTAATAAAGTCTTTGAAATTTCCCAGTTTGTCGAGACTCCAAACCATTCACTGATGCTGGTGTTAGTTCTCACTCGTCTTAGCAGAGCAGTAAAATGGAACAAAACTGGTGAACTGTAGTAGCATTGCAGCAATGGATATTTATAGTGGAGGCTTTTCATGTTGCAGAGGTGCTTGGATGTCCTCAAGAAGGGTGAGATGCTCTGTCACCTTCCTTTTGAAGAAACAATCTCTTCATGATAGGAATCAAGGTGACTCATCAAGAATGCTGCATTATGACACAGAAATTGCAAAGACATGGGACAGAATGAGCAAGAAAATGCATATGTGGGCAGGTGGCCCAGGAGTTCCTTACCCTTGGTTGTATTTCTATCCTGTCTGATAAGGTTAATTTTTTTCTCAAAACAGATTTGTTGTATTGCAAATGTTCATTTTATTGGCCTAAACAGAAAGGAATGAGTCAGAATTCTATTCTGATAGTCTTTGTGTCCAGCACTTTTCCAGGAAATATCATTTGGAGGATCAGAGGCTGTGTTTTGCAGACACTGAGCACAAGAAGCCTGTATTTAGCTGTTTTAATTACACATTTTTTAAGTTTCATCACAGGACTTAATGTCTTTTTTTACAGTGCTTCAGTATATAATCCTGTTAGGAAGCTCTAGATTTATATTGAAGCAGGAAGTAGCAATGTCATCGTTTCAGCTGATTGTTTCCCTTGTGCTGTACTGTATTAACTAAGTAATGCTTCACTTGGCTGTGTAAAGCCAATTGCATTCTCAAGGACATGAGGCATGCCTGAAGATGAGTCATTACCTTTGCTACAGCACAAGAGGTGTGATATGCAGTCTCAGCAAGTGTTTGTCCATTGAAGTTGGTTAAATAACCTATAGCCCTCTCCTGTGGCAAGATGCCATAAATCGATCCTTTGTGCATTCAGCAAACAAAGGCTGGTGTATCAGCTGCCTCTTCAGTATCATCACTTTATTCCCATTCCTAGAGCGAGGTGTTAATCCGCAGAGATTTTTTTTCATGTAGTAGACCTCCCCTTCTACCCCACATCCTTGAGAGCATTCCAGAGGTAGCAGTCACAAGAGTAGCCATTAAAACCAGGGGAGAAATATCACAGGATTTCACTGCAACCTCCTCTAGACTTTCTCAAGATCTTGAGAACCTATAAAATCTCAGAACCAGCCCTCGGGAAGTAGCTTCCTCCTGGGGAAAATGTATGGGACCGGTCAGGAAAGTTGCACAAGATTGAATTTTACAGCGTTTACCTTGCTATGTCTCTTATTTTTTTGTTGGAGGTAAAGCCAACAGCTGGCAAAAGCAGTTTTTCCTCTTATCAGGAGATGTAAAGTGGCTTTGGTGCCACTCCAATCCATATGGCAAAGGATTCCTTTTCCTTGACTCTTGTGGCAGTCCTCAGTGCAATGACTGATTAGTAAGGCCATGGGCAAGAGGGAGCTACCTTGTAATAGGCAGAAGTTATTAGAGGAAGGTGTTGTCAAGCCTCCGTGGGGTAACGGTGATCACTGCACACTTTTAGTTTTGATATCATGAAAGACTTGTTCCCTTAGGGACAACACAGTAACAACGAACTTTAAAAGGGCAGATTATAAAACTATGAGGAAAATGGTTAACAGCAGGCTGAAGGGCAAAGAGAAGTACTTAAAAACCATAGAGATCTGCCTGGAGGCTATTTAAGAACATTGTATTAGAGGCACAGATGGTTTGTATACCTCTGAGCAAAAACAGCGCATGAGGAAGAATGAAACTCACAGGGTTACGTGGGAGAAAAGCGTGAGTGTAAAAAGGTTGAAAATGCATCCCTTAAAGATGACGACTGTCTGAATGACAGACTAGGAAGCATTACCTGGAGAGTGGAAAGAGTTGGAAAGTGTCAGTGTGAAGAAAAAGACTACAGCAGCTGCTGGCTTTGGATCCCCAGGATGAAGCACACACCAAAGAGTCATTCTAATAACGTCCTGAGCAGTTGCCTTTGAAAACTGTCCTACTCCAGATGAGACTTCACCAGAAAAATGAGCATGCTCTTAATCGGAGTTAGCTAGCACAAACCAAAATCTCAACAAAGCCAAAGCAGTCTGCAGTTTTAATGTGTGACTAGGCCACATTTAAGAGTAAAGGAGCCCATTCAAACGGTTTCTTTGGATTTTCACCTTGTGTTGGATTCAGTGCCAAAAATGATGGTTTTAATTTTTTTGCCAGAGAAGTTAGAGATAAAAAAAGTCAGTCTTAAAAAGTCTAATTTTAGTAAAAGCAAAAAACCTACGTTCATTCTGGTACAGCTTTGGGCTGAGAGAGAGGCTATTTGATAAGTGTAGTGAGGTTTGCAGAGTTTTTTACAGCAGTATGTAATTGGACAGATGCAGAATTTTGTTGCCATGCATCTGAGAACAGGAACACACTGATTATAAATTAGAAGGGGAACATCTCAAGTGTCACAAATTTGATGATGTACGCAAAAAAAGTATCCTTGTGAAATCAACGAAAGTTATTTTCTGGTTTAAAACCAAGGAAAGGCAGGGGAAGGTTAAAACAACTATTTTGGCAATAAAAGCTTGATGCACAGAGTCTCAGTGGGATTAGAGCCCTGGCATCTAGGCTGTTTTATTCTGCCCTGTTAAATTGAAACAAACAATTCAGCTGCGTGAGTCTCTTCTTTTCTTCTCTGACATGCCAGCTATCTCAAGAAAAGAGATTAAGCATTGTTCTGATCAGCGCCACAGCAGCAGCAGCAGTTTTATAATTTAAGGGCTGCATAAAATTTATGGAGTACTGAGAAGAGCTTAAATCAATTTTATGATTTTCATAAATTATTGCAGGCAGACCATATTTGTGTAGAAAGCTGGTGATGTTTGAGCTGTTTATCCAAAGGACAACATTCAAAATAGGGATTTTCAAAGGCACCTATGGGAATTATGTGTTCAAGTTTGATGGGAATTAGAAGACTTGTTCCTCTGAGCTACTGAATATTCCACTATTAATTCCTAATCATGCTAAATTGTTTCAAATACTTGGTAAAAATCAAAATTAGAGGAGGGTCAAATTCAGAGCAATTTAAAAATTTCATTTAAATATCTATTGTGCTTATAAACATTGGTTGGTAACTTGTAATTCTATTTCAGGTGAAAAACCACTGTGGCACTTAAAGAGTTAACCCTTTTCTTACCACAGTGTATTTTTTGGTTGTTGTTTAAGCCCCATTACTGTGAGAAACCTTGTTCCTTCTGCTTGCAGGCATACCTGCAAATTACTCCAGCTGCTACAGAGAGGGACCTGCCTGCAGAGCAGAAAGAGAAACAATACCTGGTTTCTCATCACACATTTCAAGATAGTATAGTAAGACAAATATAATTCCATACATTACAGATACGAATAGAGATTGAACTTCCCTTTCGGACAACTAACCAAGGTGGAGCTGGTAAGATATATTTCCCATTTCATCCTAATTTGGGTATTATTGGTGATTGAGCGAGCCTTCCACTCACTGGCATTATGCTCATCAGGATACAGATAGGTTGGAGACCTTTCATCATATTGGGATACATCTGAGCTGTAATATTCAGTGTCTATTTTTCTATATTTTAAAGTGCTTCAACTCCTCTAAAATGAAATCATTGTGTTTCGGACTATTGCAGACTGAATATGCTAAACATGGTACTAATGGGAAGAACCATTGCTGAATTCCTCTATGCTGGATGGGCAGCTTGTGCTAAATTATTTTCTGATGTTACTCCATTGCTCTGAGTGAAATGATACTGATAGATACCTGAGCTCCTTACCTGAACAAGGTAGTCTGAGGTGAATAGGTTTAAATTCGAAGAAGTTAACTGTTGGAAACTCCAGGATCTTGCCACTGAATTCCTATAGCCAACAACATACATAAATGATGGGAGCGACTGACTCAATGGTCATTCTGCAGAAGGGATCTGTGATGGCTGTGAATTAAAAATGGAACACAGGCCACGGTGTGAGGAAAGCTAATGCAATTTTGGCTCTATATATATTGTGTCATGGAGAAGAAATGTGAAGTAATCTTACCCTACTTATTCTCTGCTTCAGACTTTAGCTGGAGTAACGTGTCTACTTTTGTGCACTATAGTTCAAGAAAGAAAAATGTAGACCAATTGGAAATTCCAACAGAAAGTAGTGGTATTGATCAGAAGTCTAGAAAACATGACCTATGAGGACAGATTGAAAGAAGTGGGTTTATACATCTAGAGAAAGGAGATGCAGAGAAGGGAATAAGAATGTCATACCAGTCTTCAGATATGTAAAGCTTGCTGCAAAGAGGCAAGTAATAAATTGTTCTCTGTGTCAACTGGGAATACAAAAAGAACTAATGGATTTAAATTGCAGCAAAGGAGATTTAAGGAAGACATTAGGACAGGCTTTCTAGCTGTAACAGTACTGAAAGAGATTGCCTGGGGAGGTTGTGGGACCTTCATTGCCAGACGTTTTTAAGAACAGGTTAGACAAACATCTGTCAGGAATGATTTGGGTATAATTGATCCTGCCTTAGGGCAGAGGGCTGGACTAGACCTCGAAAGGTCCCTTCCAGCCCTGTTTCCTATGGTTCTCTCATTAGGAAGGCTGATGTGATATTCCTAGGACTTTACTATTCCTTTTAAAAGCAAAAACATGCTATAGCAATGACAAGAGTCAGATTTAAACTGACAATATATGGGAAAATTCAAAGCTTAAGGTTGATATCCCACCCTTAATTACTAACACTTGAATGCACATAACACAGTTGGACTTGTTCAAAGGCTAAATACTTGGAGATTACACAACTGTGAGTCTTTATGACCAGACCATGATCTTTTTAATAGCATGAGGATCTGTTTCTTCAAGTGTGTATTGATCTCACACATTGAAACTTGCATTTTGTCATTTGAGGAAGTAGTTGGCAGTGGTCTTCAGCATCTAACAGATTCCAGGTGGGGTCACTCTCATTTTGCATGCCATCACACATTTGGCCACATGCAATGCTTCCACTCACTCCAAA